TGGTAGAAAATGATTTCTGATTTCTCCAACGTGGTGAAGTCTTGACTGAATGAAGGATGATCACTTCTTATAAGATGCAAGACTTCTTCAAGGTGGAAAATAAGAAATAATAAGCTTCTTCAAAAATCTTCACGCCTTGATACTGGTTCGCAAAAAGCTTGGTGAGAACTTTGAGATTGTTTAAGTGCTTTTTGCTTGAGAGAATTATCGAGTGAAAAGAACCAACACCTTCTTAGTTGATGAAGGTGGGTATATATAGGTGAGGGAGATGAAATTTCAAACCTATTATCCAGTGGGTAAGGACCGGGGAACTTGTTGCATTAAATGCTCCATTAATGTGGTTTGTACCATGTATCCGTTGAGGGCATGGATAGCCTTAGGGTTTTGTCCTTTAGCTTCAAAAGGATGGTACAACTTCATTTAATGCTCCTTGGTATGCGTGTCCCACATGTTGAGGTCCTTTTGTTCCTAGGATGGTTAGTCACCTCAGACAGTAGTAACATTCTTCTTGATGTTGAAGAGAATGAATGTCTTGATAAATCGTCATACTGATAGCTGTCTCTACGAGGTGGTTGATAACCTTTGATGAACTTTCGTTGTTGACGCTTCAGTCTTTGTGCTTTGTGTCTCTTTTTGTCTTGATAGCCCTAACAAAAGATCATAACTCGTTTTCATGTGTTTGTCTAGCTTAACACGAATTACAGTGTGCGTTATGGCAACTTTCGTCTAGAACGAAAGCATCGATTAAAAATAACGAAGGTTAGGGGTCTACATTCTAGGTTACATTGGTATCATCAAAATCGTAATACAAGTGTTCCTAACAAACACGCCTATTCAAAAACATAGCAACTAACTTGTTGAACATTAGCCAAGCTACAACGGTTACAAACAACATTCGACAACCATTTAATGTATTGTTAAAGGACTCTAAACTATTGGTAGTCATAATGCCAAACCTGTAACCACCGTCATAAGATAATGCCCATGATTACTCCGGAATTTCGGACAAGTATTGGTACATTTGGGGCTACAGCTCCTCTATAGTCTTTATTGCCTTATAGTAATCCAATCGTGTGACCGCAGTACCTACTTCCTAAGCCGCCCGAATGCCGTCACTAAAATTAACATGCCTCTGTCATAAAATGTATCACCGCCAAAACCAATAAAGTTTCACCATAGGTGTCTCACAAGAAAACTTCCTGTCGGAATTATTTTCACCGTCGCCAGAAAAAAAGATAGTTCGAGAATTGTTTGCCTGAGGAGTTGTGGGAAAAATAACGAAGCTGTGTTGAGTTTATGCAAAACCTGTGTTGAGTGTTTTAGTTTGCGCAAAAACTTGTGCTAAGGAAGCACGTGTTTGTGAAACTCATGCTGAGGTTTGCTAAACCTGTGCTTACAGTGGCGGATCCAAAAAAAAAAATTTTAGTGGGGGCGAAACGCATTAAAATAAAAGAGATAGTTTGATAAAAAATAAAACACTTAAAAGTATAGCCATAAATATTGTTGGATGTGGACAAAAAATAAAACACATTAAAACTTTTTAAAAAACATTCATAACAAAATATGAAACATAATTAATTTGATAAAATAATTCGAATAGAAAATACATTATAAACAAATCTCATTACTAATATAAAAAAAAGTTTTATATATATATATATATATATATATATATATATATATATATATGTGTGTGTGTGTGTGTGTGTGTGTGTGTGTGTGTGTGTGTGAGTGATATATATATATATATATATATATATATATATGTGTGTGTGTGTGGGGGGGGGGTATTTGAAAGGTAGCTGCCCCCATGCTGAGTCCGCCCTGTGTGCTGAGCATAAGTTTGTGTGAAACTCGTGCTAATGCCTGAAAAACCTCAGCTAAACGCTGCAACAAAAGTTTTTAGCTTAATTCTCATCAGTTAAATTGAATCTCCAATGTACTGGAAGCAGTGTCTTAATTCTCATCAGTTAACAAAATTAATGAAGATTAATTCCAATTTTAATATGAAAATTAACGCTATAACATCATATTTAATCTAATTAAATTACTAGTTTTTAGAGTTACAAAAATTGATTTTTGAATTCAACTTTAAATGCCATTATTGCTAATTAATTCCTCTTTTTCTATAAATACCTTTTGTTGTACAAAATTGTTTGTTGCTGATTTTGAAAATTTCAAAACCCTTTTTTTTTTTTTGGTGTAAATCACACATTGTTGTCCGAGTCTTTCTCTGTCCGTTTAACGGTCCAGGTCCAGAAGTTGGCCCAAAAGGAATCGTCACTTGTGGGAATCGAACTCGAGTTATCCCAAAATTCTCCCCCACAAAGAGAGCTCATTTACCACTTGAGCTACCCTGTTGGGTTTCAAAACCTTTTTCGTTTTCTCTCTTCCCCTCTTAAAATATCATTTTCTTGAAAGGAAATTTTGCTTAAACTTCCGATAAAAAATTGAAGTGCTGGCCTTGTGTTCTAATTCCCTAAAAACAATATAACATGAGTTCTCAACTATATTATTGTAATTCATTTTATCATGGGAAATTAACGCTACAACATTCCTAGCACACTTGGAAGGTAGCAAATTGGTTTTAATGAGAGTGTGTTAAACACGACTTTGAATATTTCTTCTTTTCCTTTCTCTCGTTATTTTCTTCCCAGTTGGGATTATTTTTTTAATATTTAATCTCATTTAAATAAATAAATAAATATATATATATATATATATATATATATATATATATATATAGGCACACGATAAATTAATATCAAGCACACAACTTAATACACAATAGCAAACTAGAATACATGTAAATATCAGGTTTCGAACACAAGCTCTATTAATTAACAACCTGTTAGGAAAATGGAGTGTTTGATGATAGGAAAGTGAGGAAACAGGATCTTCAGGCGTGTGATCACTTTCCTATAAGCTTTAAATCTCCCTTATATAAAGCAACAAGGTTCAAGATTTAATCTTATGGGATACAAGAAGATGATTAAATTCTTAAGTTGCTTTGTTTAAGAATTTCTTGTAGAAATGCAGTACTGTGAAATATCTAAGTCTTATGCAAGTTTTTGCATGTTAATCTTCAAATGTTTCTCCACATATTTATAGATGCAAAATATAACTGTTGGAGAGGTTACATGGAAGTTAATCATTTAAATTTAAAATTTAACTTCCATGAGATATATCTTATCTGATATATCAAGCATGGAAAATATATATATGAATATTATATATATTCATATGATATGCACCTTCGTAGGTTCATGCACTGCATACAAAATAACAAAGTTAAAAATATATATTATATATATTTATTATTCATTCCATGTTAACATGCAAAATGAATAAACATATAAAATATATATTAATACTATGCATGCAGTATATACAAGCCAAAAGGCTTTGGAAATGAAACTACTTTCGTGGCTTTGGAAATGAAACTAATTTCCTTAGTTTCATGTTGCCGAAAGAAGCAAATCATTTTCGTGAAAGGTTATAATATAAAGCTCGCTTCACACGAAATCATTTCCAACATTCAAAACGTTAAGCACGAAAGAATGTACAGGAAAGCATTGATTCGTGTAACCCAACGAAATAAACAAAACGCATGCCATCAACTCGTTAAACCTGAATCTTTCGATTCGTTAAATTAACGAATTTGATACAACCGAATCCATCATTTGAATAACGATTTGTGTTCCCAACTTACTTTCTACCAAATTAAAATAATATTTATAACTCCACAACTCCAAATATTATTTAAGCTTTTCATGGTAGTTCATCTGAACCATTAACTCTCATTACTATATAAATCTCTAACACAACCTATGCACAAGACATACAAATCATGACACACGACTACGTCCGGACAAGCACACGACATACAGACTATGGCACACAACTAAATAAGTCCTCACAGTCCTCTATAATATAGTGGTCCTCATTTGAACTCAACTCTCTCTCTCTCTTTCTCTCTCTCTCTCTCTCTCTCTCTCTCTCTCTCTCTCTATATATATATATATATATATATATATATATATATATATATATATATATATATATATATATATATATATATATATATATATGGTAGGGTTCCAGTGAGAACATGTGCTTAGATGAGAACGTAAGAACACATCATATGCATCCATCTAATATTTGTTAATGGTCTAAATTAGATTAAGTGTGTACGAAAGGGCATTAAATGTGTGCAAACGCGATTTAGTGTGTTTGCACACATTTAATGCGCGTTCGCACACAATTAATCTAATCTAGACCATTAAAAAATATTAAATGGATGCACATGATGTGTTCTCACGTTCTCACCTAAGCACATGTTCTCATATGATCCTAACTATATATATATATATATATATATATATATATATATATATATATATATATATATATATATATATATTAATGTCAGAGCTCTGTGTTCATAATTTCATAACTGTACATTCATAATTGCATAACTGTACATTCATAATTGCATAACTGTACATTCATAATTACGTAACTGTACATTCATAATTCAATAACTGTAAAATCATAATTTTCAAAGTTCGATGTTCACAATTTTAGAGCTCTATGTTCATAATTTTATCACTATATGTTCATAATTGTAAGTTCATAATGTCAAAGCTCTGTGTTCATAATTTTATAACTTACATTCATAATTCCATAATTGTACATTCATAATTCCATAACTGTACATTCATAATACCATAACTGTACATTCATAATGACACAAACGAATAACGCCGTTAACGGCGTTAACGGCGAGACAAAATCATTTTTTTTTAACTAAAATGACGTGTTTTCCTTGAAAACGACGTCGTTTTGGACTCGTATCCACAATGCATTGTGGACACGAGTCCACTGCATAATTTGCGGTTTTTGCGGAAGCCTTTCTCATTGATGTGACCTTGATCTAGAAAATGACTTCCACCAAAGTTTGGCGGAAGTCATTTTTTCTCAAAACCCCACTGTTTTCCCAAATCAACAGAAATAATTTCCGTTGACTTGATTTTCCAGGCACATCCAAACACTAGAAACTCGAAAAATGATTTACAGAAATTATTTTTCGCATTTCCAAAGACACCCTAAATTTTGCATAAGAAACGGTAACCACAACCCAACTTTCTTCATTTAATTTTTATCTACCTCTTAAAATCTCAGTCAAATCATCATTTTTTTTCCATATTCTCAACAACCAACAATAGAACCGAAAGATCAATAGACAATAATAATAGAAAAAATTACATAGGTTTCCCTGACAAATGTGATTGTACAAAGTCATTATAAGAAATATTGTTCCAAATAATATTAGTTTATGAATTTTTATTTTTATTTTATAAAGCCAATATTCTCAAATGAGAAGAATTTATGGCTAATTAGATAAACTCATATCATTTTTTTTTTTTTGTTTTGTAAAATTAATAAAAAGCAAATTAAAATTTCAAGACAAGTGAATTTCCTTGTTTCCTTTTCGAGAACAGACATATATATAGGGTTACACTCCCACGAGAACATGTTCCCAAAAAAAAATTAAGAACCAATTTTAGTCTTACATCAGTAAAAATAAAATGGACCAGATTAAATTAAAAACAAAAGAAAAAAACATTGACATTAATATAATTATCGCCAACTTTACAGTGCAACTTTTAACATTATACGGTGCACTTTTTGACAATAGACAGTGCATTTCTTGATAAGTTTTAAAAATATCAACGAAAAATTAAATTTTAAACCTAAATGGTAAATACTAATTAAATCTTAATTAAATGGGGAAATTGCATATTTGGTCCCTGAGTTATACCTAAGTTCTGACTCAGTCCCTGAGTTATGACCGTATCCATTTTTAGTCCCTCAGTTATGGGCGAAGTGGCGCATTTGGTCCCCGGCCGTTAAAATTGACGAAAAATTAAAATATATTTAAAATTTTAGGGGTAAAGTAGGAAATTCATATTTTATTCTCCTTCTTATATCAAAACCACTTTTACAACATTGTTTTTCACTTCTTAGCCTCTTATTTCAAGATTGTTCAATTCTAAAAGCATTTCAATAACTTTAGTATGACTTGTTAGGAACCTGACTCTCGTATAACAAACATAAGACTTATCACAAACAAAGAAACACTTGATCATTGTCTTCAGACGTGTGAAATACACTATTTTATCAATTTTCAATTTTCTTTACTAAGCAACAAAGGTAATCAAATCAGAACTTTTGAGATACAAAATGATGTCACATTTCTCAGGTTGCTTTTATGATAAATTCAGCAACAGAATAACTTGAGATTTTTAGTGTGTAAAATTTTTTCATATACAACAGTCAATAATCGTTTTTAGAAGTTGCAAATTTTTTTAGAATTTTCATTACTGAGTCTTAGGTTCATCATTCATTACTCTGATTTTTAAGAAGAAAAAGGAGGTGATGGGTAATATATATAATATAATTTTCATATATTGTCAGAATATATGATTTTTGATTAAGTTACTGCAGAGCTTACGAAAGAATTTTACGTACTAAAAATCTCAAGTTACTCCCTTGGTGAATTTGTCACAAAAATAACTGAGAAATTTGATATCTTCTTGCATTTCAAAAGATATGGTTTGATTACCATTATGTTTAGTATGGGAAATCAGAAACTTTTAGGATGGTGTATTTTGCATGCTTGAAAACAAATGATCAAGTGTTCTCTTGTTTGTACTGAGTCACAAGTTCCTTATATGAGACTCAGGTTACTAACAAGTCATACGAAGATTATTGAATTGGTTTTGGAATTGAAGAAACTTGAAATAGAATGCTAGGAAGTTGAAAATAATGTTGCAAAAGTGGTTTCAATATAAGAAAGTGAATAAAATGTGAATTTCCTACTTTACCCATAAAATTTTAAATATTTTTTAATTTTTCATTAGTTTTAACGGTCAGGGACCAAATACGCCACTTTGCTCATAATTGAGGGACTAAAAATAGATAGGGAAAATTGTAAAAAATGTCCCTCTACAATATGTCAATTATCAATGTCACCCGTGAATTATGAGTGGTGTAAATGTTGCCCCTCAATTATCAAAACGGTGCACATATAGCCCCTCCCGTAACGGACATGTGGTTCCCCGTTGGTGTACAACACCGTTAAGTCGGAGTAAATATGTAATTTATTTGTTTTTTCCCTTCCTCGATTCGAAGTACCAGCGATGGACAGCGGTGGAACCACAGGTCCGTTACGGGAGGGGGCTATTTATACACCATTTTGATAATTGAGGGGTAACATTTACACCACTCATAATTCAGGGGTGACATTGATAATTGGCATATTATAGAGGGACATTTTTTACAATTTTTCCAAATAGATACGGTCATAACTCAGGGACTGAGTCGTCACTACCTTTATAACTCAGGGACTAAACTCGCAATTTTCCATAATTAAATAATATAAAGTGAACCCTTAAACTAAACGTAAAACAAAAGCATCAAAGAAAACTAAAGTGCACTTTTCAAATTAAAGTTGTTAGGACTATCTAGAAATACACATTCTATGGTTAAAAAGTCCATTTCATAGTATTAAAATGTGCACTCTATAGTGTTGAAAAGTGCACTTTAAAGTTGTGATATTTACAAAAAAATGCCACCACATTTAAAAAAAAAAATCATGAGAACCATGTGATTGCACATTATATTGTTAAAAAGTGCATTCTATAGTGTTGAAAAATGCACTTAAAATTGATGAAATTTACAAAAATGCCATCACATTTTTTTTTTTTTGTTAATTTCATCGGAATAATTTAATTTTTCCAGTTATAAGGTTGATATTGTCTCTTAGTTTTCTCCAGACAACAAGTTCTCATATGATCCTTTTCCAACACACACAAACACACAGAAAAACGATAGATCAGACAACCTAGGGCGCAGGGGAGGGGGTCGAATTAGCTGATTTAAAAATTTGTGCTTAGTGTTTAATTATTATGCAAGAGACAATATGTGAACTATATAGCTAACGTTGAGAATAAGAGAAAGATATCATGTCACTTAGATAAAGTTGATAGGATAAATAACACAATTATATCAAATTAAATAGTAACCAAGTGAAAGAATAGACCAATATTTATAGTGGTTTGGCAACCGCCTATAATTTATACCACACGTATCTCCCATAATTTATGTGATTTTGTGGTCTTGAATTTTAGAAGTAAGTAATTATAATTATGATGATATATGCGATTATCTTTTATTACAAAGTTATCTTTTACAGCATACTGATCTTGAAGAATTGAAATGGCAAGATCATTATGTTATTTAAATATTCTCTCTTACTCTTAACGTCCAAGATATAAATGTTGGATCTTGATAATTAATATCTTATGTTATTATATGCCTATGTGGAGGCATGTGTTTTTTGGGCTTGGAGTTGTATGTAAACATTGTTTAGGGTGATCCTTGCAATTTGAGATTTAAAAAATAAAATAAAAAAGAGAGAAAATTTGTTTGTGTTTAGACAATTGAGGAACACAAATGTTATCATACCCTTAATTTATTAATAGGGACTACTTGTTCTTTCAAAAATTAAACATGAGATGCTTATATATCATTGTCACATGATTTTTTAAAGATTTGAATTATGTACTAAAATTATTTGTATAAAGATATAATAAGCATATATCAAAGGCTTTAATGAAAATTGTTTGTAGCATGGAATTGAAGAGTCATCAATCTTGAATACCCTTTGCATAGCTCAGTCTTGCCGATGAGGTTTGCCTCATCATATCTTAATATGACACATGCATACTTATAAGATAATAGATCAGACTATCATATGCAAAAGATTATTTTGATCATTAGTAGTCATATATTATTGGGCATTGATCATATTCCTTTAAAACTATCATAATTTATAAGATGGTTTGCCTATATCTTTGCATCCAATTGATTATTATCTTTTGAGAGCATGTCATGAAATATATATTGTGACAAGCATTTTAGAAATCACCATTCCACATTTTGTACAGTGAGTGCTTTGAATATTATAGAGAAAATTAACAGCGGTGTTCACAAAGATAAGTGAATTGTTATTTTTCACATGTATGAGCTTTATGAATTTTTTGTGTTAGAAGTGTTGATTTAACACTACTGCTAAGTGATTAAATCATCAGTATGATATAAAACTTATAAATTGTGTACTTATGCACATGTCAATTTATAACATTATGTGTTATTATTGTGGATATGTTACAAACATTGCACTATTTGATGATATATATATATATATATATATATATATATATATATATATATATGTGTATTCAAATGAGGACAAGTATATTATAGAGGACTGTGAAGACAGATATAGTGTGTGCCATTAGCCGGTATGTTGTGTGCATGGCCGAATGTAGTCGTGTGCCACAGTTTGTATGTCGTGTGCTAGATTTGTTAATTTATAGAGCCTGGGTTCGAAACCTGATGTTTACATTTATTCTTGTGTGCCATTATGTATTAAGTTGTGTGCCTTGTATTAATTAGATGTGTGCCCATTATTTGTCCTCACAGTCCTCTATATGTTGTCCTCATTTGAACTCAACCCTATATATATATATATATATATATATATATATATATATATATATATAGGGTCAGGTTCCTGTGAGGTTAGGTCTTCTCGTGCGGTCAGTGTAGCATACACCATTAGGTATGCATAAATGCACCACACAGTGTTTGTAAATATACCATTATGTGTGGTGTATTTTTTTTGTGTGGTATATTTTTTGGCATTTCATTCTGGTGTATTTTTGAACACTGTATAGTGCATTTATGCATACCTAATGGTGTATGCCGCACTGACAGCACGGGAAGATCTGACCTCACAGGAACAAAAAGAAATAAAAAAAAATAATATATATATATATATATATATATATATATATATATATATATATATATATATATATTACAGTCACATAATCTTAAAGATTTAAATTGTGTACTGAGTTTAATTTCAAAGGCTTTACTCACATTTATGGTGGTAGCATGAAAAAATCGTCGTTCTTGAATACTCTGTCTAGGAAGATGGTTTTAAGAAAACTTCGGTTTCACCACTCGACCTGAGAGTTTTTTAAGAAGTAGGGTGCTGATCATGCAGGCTAGTTAGAGCGTCACTTGATCTTCACCTGAAATGAGGTTGACCTTCATATGTTTTTAAACAATCAAAGCCTTGCAATATGCCCTTCAATTTCCCCTATTGATGATCTTTGAGCTGATCAATGTGCTAATTAAAGTGAATGAGAAGCTAAAAAGACAGAAGTTGTTTTAAATTTTGAACAACGATTATGATAACTGCAATTAATGCTCACCTCTCTTTGACTCAACAATTATTGAATCTGAATTTTCATAGCAGCATTGGTAACTGGTAATTGGTAAGGTTTCATCGTTCTCTACAAATGAATTTATTTTTAAGTATTGTTTTCTTGAGAGTTAATTATAAGTTATTTTTAAGCTTTCTTCGATCATTGGCTACGAGTATTCAACATGTTCTTTTTTGTGGCTGCTACGTTGAGTTTTTTACTATCATATTAAAAAAAAACACAAATTTTGGCAGCAAAAATTACTCTAGAAACATTTCTGCAACGTATAAAAGTATATAAGAAAATGGGTTAGTTTTTTATGTATATGTTGCCTTTAAATAAAACACCAAAGTGCTTACTACGTGGACAATTTTATACATTACATATCATGAATAGTAGATTTAGTTATAGGAGATACATATATTTTTCGAATAAAATACTTGAACAACTTAAGGCTAACATTTAGTGAATTTTGTTGTAAGAATATTAGAATAGACAAAGAGAGAAGAGGGAAGGTTCAGATTCTCATTCATCATACCAAATACTTATACAAAGGTATTACAAATATAAAGTAATGAATACATATAAAAGGTAGTAACCTTATCAGTTACAACTGCTACCATATATATAATAATGTCCACATATATAATATTTATAACACTCCCCCTTGGACATTATTTGACATGATCCTGCATCTTCAAACCTTGCTAGGAAAATCCTGTGGGAAAAACCTACACAAAAGAGTATATATGTATATATTCATGCCTCGTTAAAAACTTCACTAAGAAAACCTCGTGGGAAAAACCTAGTTGAAGAAAAGAGTACATGATATTTGTAAGAACATATATTGTACTGATTGCCTCATTAAAAACCTTAACTTAAGAAAACCCTGTGGGAAAAACTTAGTTAAGGGAAAAAGAGTACAACCAAAACCTTCAGGGCACAATCGACATAATCTTCAGGATTTTGGGGTTTGTCTACTTAAGCAATTATTTTGCAACTTTTCCTCATTTACATTACTATATCATACTCATGTCTCGTTAAAATCCTCACTAGAAAACCCAGTGGGATAAAAACTAGTTGAGCAAAAGAGTGCATGATGTATGTGTATTCTTTTTAGATTAGCTGCCTCATTAAAAACCTTAGATTTAAGGAAAAACCCCGTGGGAAAAAACTTAACTAAGGAAAAGAGTACAACCGTTAGTCATCTAAGACCCAATCTTCAGGATTGATTCATGTAAAATGATACTCCCCCTCAAGATAACAATCTTTAATTCCCATACATTAAATTTCTAAACTGTATAGAGGGATTTTGTAAATAAATATATACAATTGTGATTTGAATAAATATACTCTATAATAATCTCGTGACTCTTCTAGAGTTCACGTGGTATAATATTAATATCATAGTATCTAGTCAAAAGGATTTCATTATATATCCTTTTATTAACCCTCTATGGGGCAATGGGTGAAAATAGTACAACCAGTTTTGGAACTTGGCATTATGGAGTTACAAAAGTAATAGCCAGTACCCAAGTTTGTCTAAGTATCCAATCAAAATCATATATTGACTAACTGGTGTATAACAATTTCTTCAAGGAAAAACTCTATCTTTTGGAGTTAAGATAATACTTAGCTTTCCCAAAGCTTTTATTTCAAAAACTCCGTCTTTAAATATGGGCTGACATCATCAAACCCTTTATATATTTCATTGATGTTTTCCACCATCAATATTGACTTAGATAATAAATAATAAATAAGTTCATTATCAACCCTTTATCGAGCACACAATGGTATATATTATTCCTTCAATGAGGATATCAACTCCATTCGCAACCCTTTAAAGAGTAAATATAATGACACTTAAATTCTCATTTCGGGAATTATAAATCCATCAGGGATTTCTCAAAATAAATATTAACTATTCCAGGTCCTATAAAGACCTTAATATTTTAATGTGCGATTTTCACTTTTTCTCATTTTGAGAACTTAAAATCCTTCGGGGACTTTTGAATTTAATATTAGTTGCATATCTAATTTATTATTCTGTCAATGATGTAGCGGAACTTAATGCCATTTATCGTAGGAAAATATGTTTGATTAAAATCAATCAAGGGTATCTGCGTGAACCCATAACACTACAAACTTGCTTTATATCATATCACCTCATTATTCTTATTTCTCTTTCGTGCACACACCCACTTGTAACCTTCGGGGTTAACTCTTAATGGTGTATTGTTATAAAGAGAATTATTAATAATTAGCGAGTCGAGCTATGCCTTAATTGATCCTTTATACGTTAAATAGTCATGGCACTTCCGGTGCCTAACTCTGGATCCAGATTATCATATAACGGAGCAATTTGTAATGGCAATTGTGTTGTCGACAACTATAACCTTTTTATAAATGTATCCCATATTTGTAAAAGTAATGGCAATTTCTAAAACAACCAGATTCTAGACATTTCCCAAAGGTATTTTGATCTGGTCGTTCCGCATCCCTAGTATTGTGTTTGTTTGGTGCACCTATAGATTGACTAGGGTTTTTCGTCATCTGGACGAACGTCTCCAAGACATAATTATTCAAGGTATAACAAAAGTGACAATGTTTCTTGGCATGGATTAACTAATGAAGATATTTTTATTCTATGGAATTTCTTGGCATTCTATTAAATTTGAACTCTTATTTCCTCCTAATGCCGAGAAACAATCTTCATTAATTAAGTATGCAGTCAGCGTACCTAAGGATATGTATATTAGTCTCCTATCATGTGCTCTTGGCATTAATTAATCAAGAGACTAAGGCTTCTTTGGTAGCCTTTTTAGAGGTACGCTGTGGTGGTGATATATTGAAATAAACTGCACACAATAAATAATAACGCAGATAGGGAAATGTTTATTTTGAAAACATGTACTAGGTATAACAATCATAACAATCCTTGAAGGATTGATTTGTGATATGCCGTTAGTTAGATTTGAATAAAAATATTAGGAATTCCCCTTCAGAATTTATTTGCTTCAGGCACACTAATATAATGTGACTAACTTTATAGTATTATTTAATCGGACGGTGTTTGCACTCGTCCTAACGACCCTTCCAGGGTTTGACAAAAGATTTGGGGATCATTTTTATCAAATAGTTATTGTCAAGGTTTGGTCCAAATGTTGACATAGGAAATTAGAGCTCTTAGTTCACCTTCGGGTAAATATATATTCAAAAATTAAGAGCTATAAATTTTATATCTCAATATTATATATGAGATAAATTTCAATATTTAGGACTCATGTCCAATATTTTCTATTGCAAAACTAGCACTATATACAGGTTTGACTTTGGACAAATAATTATTGACTTTTGAATTGTATCAAGTCAATTTCACATTAGAGATATATAATTTGACCGAATATTGTTATCATATAATTAGTGCTATGAATTCACCTTCCAGGCAAAACTATAGTCGATTATTCATGCTAGATATCACAAAATTTAGACTCATATAATCTAATTGACATCACAAGATCAAAGGTTTAGCAACAACAGGTGCAACCTAACAATGAAAAATCATATTGAGAATTCATTCTTTTGTCTCATTTATAAGTTGTGTGATATATCTCAATAGTTATGGCCTATAGCAAATAATTAATTGCCAACAATAGATATAACAAATTCTCTTATATGAGCCTAATCAATAGATTATATGCCAAATGTTGTCAATTAAAGAGAAGCATATTCAATATGTGATATAATTGTCCTTTATGTCTTGGACACCAAAACTCAATTAAATCATGCACATCCATTTTAAATAAAGGGTATCATGTTTGATACACACAAGACATGACATGACATGACAAGAGATATTCTATTAATTCATATATTAGAAAATAAAATGAGAGAAGTACCGTTCGCCAAAGGGTAACGAGCACATGTTCACTGCTGGGCCCATTCATTCCTATTTCGGGGAGTCAAAAACAAGACTTTTCCAAGCAAGCTCTCATTTTATCTCATGATTTCATACAAGCATGAAATATCACAAAATAGCAAGATATACAAGCTGAAAACAGCAGAAATTTTCCGAATTTTAATCTGGATTGCATAATTTTCTGCGAAAAAATGGTAACTCATTTTGGCACAAAATTTTGCAGATATGTAGTTCAGCAAGTCTAGAACGTACATGAAAATTTTCATGTCAATCCATGGTCTAGAAGTATTTTTCCCAAAAATATTTCCAACACTACATCAGGCATAAAAATTAAATGGCTGCACACTGCCAGAACTATACAAAATTTTTCTGGAACAACCAAAGCATATTTTGAACAAAAACTTTTATAGACATCAAATATCGTAAGTGTAGATTCTCTAGTGAAAATTTCAGGCCGACAGGAGTTTAAGAAGTAATTGTCACGAATTTAATTTTCAAACTGCGCCGCTCAGAATTTTCAGGCAGTGATTACTGTGAAAAAAAAAAAATTCACAATTTGTTTGCTTTAGGCAAACCAACATGATGCGAGTCAATTAAAAATCAGATAATATATTTTTGCAAAAAAAAAAAAAAAAACTAAAAATACTTAGTATAATTTTTCCATGTACTATTACTGGAGTACAATATAATCATCATAGATGACAATGAGACCCGTATACACCAAATATCCTCCAGAAATTAACTTATGGTCTATAGATCATTTTAGATCAAATATCTATAATCGTGGGCTTACAAGCCAAAGCTTAATTTCCCCGGCAGAAGTCCAACAAGGCCGGGGAGGTTGGCGTCGTTACTCAAAATAATGTAAACACACATGCATACAAGACTAATCAATGGATTGTGACAACATCCTTCATATTCATATAAATGTATTCCAATCAGTTTGACACAGTGGTGACGAATAAATTCATAAATGCATATATACAAGGCTATTGACAAGTCATATGTTTAGGAAGTAGAGAATACTGTGCCCACTTCAAGCATACATATAAACATAGCAGCAAGATATACATGATTTATGGATGAGTTGCACCTTTTGATACATATCTCAATATATTATCATAAGCAACTAACATATTCACATGTCGAGGTGCAGCTGGATAATGCTACACATATTCACTTTGTTAATTCAAATTATTAACAATATGCATAGATTCAATTATATATCACTGAATCAGGGCCAATATGATGCATCAAGAGTGGGTGAAATTAAATAGAATTAAGGAACCTGATAAGCCACAGTCGAAGTCTATTGTGCTGCCACGTACACGTACTAGTATGATACACATGTTTTCATTGAAGAGTGATTTGTCGGTCACCTCGTTTGTATTCCATCTGGCAGATTACACACCTTTCTTTTTTTGAAAATAAGCCACACTTGAACTTTGTGAATGGAAGTAAAGTGATAAGGTCTTGAGAAAGTCCTCTGCTTTGAGTCCCAAGTCCCAACTGCCTTTCCGAATTCGAGAAAGACCTCTGCTTTGTGCTGCACTGCGAAGTTGGGAAGGTGTAAAAATATGTCGACTGCCTCAATGCGTCTGTGAGAACGGTAGTGATGACTAGTGCAACGTATCAGGGAAAAACTATACTGGCTGCCACAATGGTTTTGGGAAGATGGAGGAGTCGGAACACGAACAAGATCCTTGAGGGAAAATTGGCAATTTTTCGAAAACAAAAAAAACATTCGGCCATATTTCCCATCGTCGACGGACGGAATTCTGGCGATCAGGTTCGGTGATCGTCTCCGTCTTCATCCAAGGCCCGCACAAGCCTCCGTCTGATCGCCGTCAGTAGGGAGATGATCGGCAGTCACCTGAACGTTCTCGTGATCTAGGGCTTCGTCGATGATGGTTGTGGCAGCGATCCGGACGTCTGATCATGGAACTGATGAAATGGTTGGGGTCTCCTCTCTCGATCTGGAATTCTTTGTTTCTACGTATGTATCTTAGAGTAGAGATCATATGATCTGCATCCATCTCCAATTCTTCGCCAGGGGATCTCATATTCAATATCCCCGTAAGTCACTTGCGAGATTCGGAATCGGAATCGAAGTAGACGTCGCAGTCCGAGACCAGATCAGCCTTCTTTTCTCGGCGATCCAGACAAGACCTGATTGGTCTTCGCAGCTGGCGATTGGCCTTCCACGAACGAAAGTCTCCGGGAGTCAACGTGCCCCCGACCGAACGAAAGTCTCCGGGAGTCAACGTGCCCCCGACCACTTTCCACCAAACATCTCCGTAACGTCTCCGATAATTATTAGGTAAAGCATTCGTGCTGATAACGTGTTGTAAGAATATTAGAATAGACAAAGAGAGAAAGGGATGGTTCAATTCTCATTCATCATACCAAATACTTATACAAAGGTATTACAAATATAAGATAATGAATATATATAAAAAGTAGTAACCTTATCAGTTCTACCATATATATAATAATGTCCACATATATAATATTTATAACAAATTTATTGTTTTTAAACAACTCTTTTATGGAGTCTCGCCATTCTGAAATTTCTGGATCCAGTTGTGTGGAGAGGAATAGAAAACGTAAGGAGTTGTATGATTGTAAGGAGAGTCGACGGGTAGAGATAAACTTGAGAGGACGAAATACTTACGCAATAATGGATCATGATAGATAGTCAGCTTTAGTTAAGCACAAAAACTATTTCTTTATCTTTTATTAATTTAACATTTTTCTCCCTCATTATTATATGAATACTTTAACCATTTAAAAAAACATTAATTTAAAAATACACATTGGGCATGCGTCTAATCGCACAAAGCGCGCATAGTTACTAGTATATATATATATATATATATATATATATATATATATCATGAAAGATTGATTATATTATTTTGTTTGTGGAAAAAAATTACTGGGAAGTTGGGTTAGAATAATAAGGAATAATGAGTATAAAGACTAAAATATCCTTACACAATGATAATGATATATAATAAAAGTAATAAAGGAAAAAATTGTCCAATCATGTGATACTTTCTTCCCAACTTTTATGAAAAATAAAATATACCACCCCCCTCAAGGAAAACTTTTTCATCAAAACTAAGAAAAACATTTTCCTATGGAAAGAGTTTCACATGAACCAAACAGATAAAAATTTCATTTTCCTTCAAATTTAAGGAAACAACCTTTTCCTTAGAAAACTTTTTCCATCATCCAACCAAACATGCTCATAACGTATTGCTTCCGGCTAGGTACGCTTCTAACCAATCATTATTGTGTGAATCATAGTCCACATAATTGTGTAGACCATAAATAAAAAGTACATTATTTGTGTACATAAAGTACATTATTTGAAAGTACTGAAAGTACATTGTTTTGTACATTATCAAATAATGTGCATTCAGTTTTCACCAAAAAAAAAAAATGTGCATTCAGTTTTCACCAAATTAAAAATGTATAATGTATATTCAATATAAAAATAATGTAATTTTAGTATATTAAAAATATATATATATTGTACTTTTATGGTCTACATAATAAATTGCCGCTTCAAACTAAGTAGATCCTTTCAAGCAACAATTTATTATTGCGTAGACCGTGGTCCACATAAAACACGGTCCAAAAACGACGCTGTTTCGCGCAAATTTATTTTCTTCACGCGACCCGCTACAACATACATTTTTATTATTCATAATGTACATTATTCTAAAGCATAATGTACATTATTTTAACTCATAAAGTACATTATTCTAACTCATAAAATACATTATCTTACCCCAGAAGTTTCATTATTCTAACACAAAGTTCATTATATTATTTTAACACATAAAGTACATTATTCTAACACATAATGTACATTATTCTAACACATAAAGTGTACATTATTCTAACTCATGAAGTACGTTATTTTAACACATAATATTCAACGACGTCGTTTTAGACCGTGATCCACATAGTTGTGTCGACCACGATCCACACAATAATTTGCCCATTTCAAGGGCAAATTATACTATAGACCGCGGTCCACAATGCATTGTGGCACATGCATCAAATATACACCGCAGTTTTATTTCAACACAAGTACAGTATCATTTTGATATAACTAGAGTTTCGCTGGACAATATACACTCAAATATGTGAAATTGTTACTCAGTTTCATTTTGTATACACTGCAAATTCATTTCAATACAACTATAATTTTATTTCAATTCAATTACAGTTTTATTTGATAATACAAAAATGAGATAGTATCAATTTAAATACACTATAATGTCTGCCGTTTTAAACCACGGTTCACAGTATAATTGCTGCCTTTCAAGCTAGGGGGCCCAGATAAACGTTGGGCTACTCAAAATACCTGAACTCCAACAAATACAGTTGCTAATGCTTTAATATATAGAAATTTAATAAAAATACGAATTAAGAATTACTACATTAGTTTTCAAAATCTATAGTGCATGCACTATAAAGTAACTCGTATACAAAAGAAATATCATTGATAGATTAAATAAACTACTCAAGTGCCCCAACCTCAATCAAACAAGATGATGATGAATAGCAAATATTGACCACCACACACGAAATAAATTCCGTTTGATGGACTAAATAAAATTATTTTAGTGCCTCAACCTCAACCATGCAAGATGAACAGCAAGCATTGACTACCAAATCTAAGGATGAATGAAAATGAGGATGGAAAAGAAAGTGGCATCCAATAAGGTCAATTAGACCACCAAATTAAAAGGTGGAAGATGAAGAGGAGTGCACCATGAGATTCATAATCTACTACAATATATAGTCATGAAAAAAACTTGCACTAAAGGTGGTTTTTGTTTTATAGGACTTGGGTACTGCCATGGTTTTCAAGCCACTAATCAAGAATTGGAAGGCAGAAAATTATAACCGAATTCTATAATACATTATAATAGAAATTGACTACACGATAATCATTATAATTTGATTTTTGAGTCAATCATTATAAATTGATTGTTTTTAGACTAAGCGCACGATTTTTGAATATATTTGGCTCTGTGATTTAAGCGCCTGGGTCATGGGGAATGAATTTATCTGGGTTGGTCTGACCATTAGTAAATAGATCATAAAACAGTCAATATTCAGATCAATCAATCGTTATACGGCAAATTATATCGTGGACGAGAGTGCACAATGCATTGTGCTTCCTGATCCAAAATGATGTCATTTTGTTCAAATCCATTAACGTTTTTTTTTTTTTAATTTTTTAATTTTTTTTATTTTTTTTTATTTTTAAAATTTCGTTTCCCATTTCTGCCGTTAACTTCTAAAAAAATTAAAATATTTTCCTGCTTCGTATGTACAGAATTGTATAGTAGAATACACAAACTCCTAACATAATACACATAATCATAAGTCTAAGAAATATCAATTCTATATACTGAGGTACATAATTTAAATTAAAAAATGTACATAATTGTATAGTTGAATACACATAAACACTTAATATAATACACATAAACACAAGTCTAAGAAATATCATTTCTGTCTAGTGAGGTATAGAATTTAAATTCATAATGTACAGAATTATAATGTACAGAATTATATAGTTGAGTACACATAAACTCTTAACATAATACACATAAACTCTTAACGTAATACACATAAACACAAGTGTTAAAAACAAAATTGTAACGGATTGGATGAACGAAATGATATCCGTCGCGTCAAGTCCCCACCAACCAAACTGAAACGACGTCGTATTGGACCAGAGTCCACTATATAACAATTGTCGTTATACCATGAACCAGGGTTCACATTGCATTATGAACCCTGGTTCATATGTTTGTGTTTTGTGTTATGACTTTTTGTATTTTGCGTTAAGAAATTATGTACCTTATGAGTATGAATTTTGTACCTAGAAGAAATTAGTAATTGTGTCTTATATTATGAATTTATGTGTTTTGTGTTGTGAAATTTTGTGTCTATGAACACAAATTATGTACCTAAATCATATTTGAAAAATAAATATATAACATGTGTATGTGTCTTGTGATATGCTTTTTTGTGTCTTGTGTTATGAAATATGCATCTTACGAGTATGAATTTTGTACATCGTATAGTATTTTCAATCCTGTTCGGTCCATAATGTTATGCTATGTGTGTTGTGTTGTGATTCTTTTTGTGTATTTGTATTATGAAATTATGTACTTTACGAGTATCAATTATGTACCTCGTTATTTCAATCCATGGTCCATAATGTTACGTGGACCTGGTCGGTGATATAAATTGCGCAGATCAATAGTGTAATTAACGAGAAGTTTTAGGAATGTAATGAAAAGTTGTGGTTAGTACTTGTACTATTGGCAGTTAGATGATATGGTTTTGGCTTAATAAGCTCGCTGACTAGGATAATTTTAACTTGCTAGAAGATGGAGCTCACCGCTAAGGTGTTAGGAGAATTTAAATATGAGATATTGATTAAACAGTGGTTGACTTGAACATCTTAAAATTAAAGTGTATAGATGAGAGTGCAAAGAGATAACTAGGGAAAGAAGCAACGTGGGGCCTTCTTCGAGATGGATATGGTGACTCAATTTGTAGTTTTCACTATTAGCAGCATGGGGCACATGTGCATTTAGCAACGGAATTATGAGCAATTGTTCTTGGGTTTCTTTTGAGTTGGAATAAGGGTTTCAAGAATGTTGATATGGATCGGAGACCAATTCAATTTATTGATTGTGGTTGAAAAAAATTAAACAAGAGGTAATAAGAAGGATCCACATCTCAACTTTCTTAATGCTATTTGAGGGTTGGGTAATAGAGACTAGGAATGTCAATTTAGACATGTGTTTCGAGTGTCATGAGGTGAATAGGTGTGCATATTAGATGGCTATAAGATATGAAGTTGTTGAGTTTAACCTGCATTTGTTTAATCATCCACCCAATGCGATTCATACGCTTTTAATGTGGTGGCTAAAGTGTTAGTGAAACATTACTAAGTTTTATGTAGTTTTTTATTTGTTTTGTGTTTCTCCACCACAGAGAAAAAATAGTTTGTGTAAGGATTTGCAATTCTGTTCTCTATCATTAACTCCCATAGGTATCTAGGGTAATTTTTTCCCCTCAAAATAGAGTACTTTGAATTCTTATTTATCAAAATATAATAGTCATTAAATTTATTTCTTTAAGTATGATATCTTTTACTGATGAAATAACCAGGGGCATAATTGTCCTTTCTAGTCCTTATTTAGTTACCTTTGTAATAAAAGGCAGCTTTGACTGCTCTATTTTCTTCTTAAGTTCTTTTTCTTTCTCTGCACTGTAAGCTTTGCTAAGCATGAACACTGTTACATTCAGCATCTACCTGATTTTTCATTCATCTCCTCCATGTTTGCTTTGATGTGTTTCTGTTCAATTCATCATGGTATCAGAGCGAAATCGCACCTATGCTGCTGCCGTCATAATGGAGGAAGCCGGAAACAATAATCCGATGGAGAATGCGGCAGGATCTTCGGATCATACTACGATGAACACTAATCAGCGGGTGGAGGAGTTTGATGATCCTTTGTATCTTCACATGACGGGGAATCCGAACTTGAGTCTGGTCTCTCCGCCATTAACCAAGCCCAATTACGCTTCCTGGAGCAGATCGATGAGGATTGCTCTGGTAGTGAAGAATAAATTTGGATTCGCAACTGAGGCGATTCCAATTCCAGATGAAGCCGATCCTAGGATAACATCATGGAGGAACCGTATTGTTTACTGATGAGCCGTATTGTTTCCTCGTGGATCCTTCGATCGATTAGCCTTTGAATTGCAGAGAGTGTTATGTACTTCGATAAAGCATCTGATATTTGGAGAGCACTTGAGAAGAGGTACTCTCAGTCGGATCCTCATAAAATTGCTGAAATCCAGAATGAAATATTCAAGGTCGTTGAAGGAAACATGACGGTGAATGAATACTTCACAAAGAGCAATGCTCTATGGCAGCAAATGAACTCTCTAAGACCTCTGTTATTGTGTGAGTGTGTGCCGAGATGCTCATGCACTCTTGTTAGTCGAATGCAGAAGTAAAGAGAGGAAGATCAAATAATCAGATTCCTGGAAGGTCTGAACGAAGAATATGAGACTATTAAGTCCGGAGTTCTAGTGATGGATCCCCTTCCGGACATAGAGAAGGTTCTCAATATGGCTCTCTGAGTGGAGAGGAAAATTAGAGGAACTCTCAACCAAAGGGGCAGTGATATTGCCCAATCTAATGCTGTTCAGAATCAGACAGAGGAAGAACAGTCTCTTGTACCAGCTGCAACTTTTAACAATAAGAAGAAATTCAATGCTAATGGAGGGAAAAGTGTACCTAAGTGCACCTTCTGTGGTATGAATGGTCACACGATCAAGAAATGCTACAAGAAGCATGGATACCCTCTCGGATGGATAGCAGGTTATAAAACTAAGAACAAGCAGTACCAAGGCACACATCAGTCTTCAAATGCATCTGTGAATCAAGTTGGGGAAACAGGTATATCTGCTGATCAGTTTCAAAAATTACTGTTTCTTTTGCAGAACCAAAACAAGGAAAATCAATCTTCAAGCAGTGCTGTTGTAATAGTGACTAGCCCTGGGATCAGATCAGATTTCAGAAGGTCTGAGGGAATACATGGAGAAGGTAGCTTACTTATAATAGTTATGTTAGTGCTGTTTTGAATTCCCATACCATTTGGATATTAGATTTAGGTGCCACTGATCAAATTACATGCTCCTTAGACTACCTTGAAAAATACCATAAAATCCATGGATTGTCTATTAAACTCCCAAATGGTGAAACAGTGAAGGTTACTCATATAGGACAGATCAGGCTTGATGAAAACATAATACTTCAAAATGTGTTATTCATTCTATCCTTTGCTTTCAACATTGTTTTTGCTAGTAAACTAGCTAAAGAGTCCAATTGCAAGCTTGTTATGGGGGATGATTCATGTGTCATTCAGGCAACTCATGGAGTAATGGATGGTTTTGCTAAGCAGAAGGATGGTCTGTATCTGCTTGAAGATCCTCCCATAAAAAGAAAGAGTGAGATTGTGAATAGAAATGCTGATATTCACTGCAATAGAGTGACAGTTGAGATCTGGCACAGTAGACTAGGTCATTATCCTGTCAACAGAATACCTTTTTTGAATGGAATAAAGTCTGTTTTTGTCAATAAAAATGCTGTTAGTGTTTCATTTTGTTCAAAACCCCAACATATAATTGGCAATATTATTATAGAAAATTAAGATTGAGTTTAGCTTTGTGTCTGTTTACTCTTATAGAAGACTGATTGATCAGGTTTATCAACAGACGCACTGCCACTGAAGATCTGTTAAGGGGAGATGTTTCCAAAATGCTGAACGCGGTTTGTGAAGACAGTTTTAGAAAGAATATCAGCGGATCAGCTTGGAAGGTATGGACCGAATCTGAAAGATTTTATTCTGCACAAAATACGTCCTATCATCTACAATCGAAGATATCTTTGGAGAGTGTTCTTACCAAGGAAGTATAAGTACCCTCATTCGATCAAGAATTAGGGT